AGTCCTTTTTTATTTCTTATATTGAGACAGGATCTTGTTGAGCTGCTTAGGGTCTTGCTGAGTTGCTTAGGGTCTTACTGAGTTGCTTAGGGTCTTGCTGATTTGCTTAAGGCCTTGCTGAATTGCTTAGGGTCTTGCTGAGTTGCTTAAGGCCTTGCTGAATTGCTGAGGCTGGCTTTGAACTTGGGATGATCCTGTCTCATCCCCACTAGCTGCTGGGATTACAGGTGTGTGCCACCACACTGGGCTCATACAGTTTCTTAATAGAGATTTTTGTGGCTACTTTATGGAAGAATTTATTAGTATTTCCTTTTATGTTTGCTTTCTTTCTGTTTGAAAGTCTTTACAAAGAGCTTCTAAAGATRTATTCTAAATTTTTTGAAGCTTCTCTTTTTACATTTGGTACTCAAATTATCTTTTGTTTGCATATTGGGTAGGGATCCATTGCTCACCACTGCCCCRCCCCATAGTTGGGCAATTAACGTAAAATCCAGAATCCAGAGTGCAACCTCTACCCGCCCCACACACATTCTGTGTATGTGTATGTGTATATATATYTTAGGATAAAGGATAAGCTACAAGATAGCAGAATGTAGCAAGACATTTCTTTCATGAGAAAAGATCTGATGTAGGAAGAGAGAGCAATCTGCTCCATAATGTTATACACCAAAGCAAGKTTCTTTCATCTCCAAGCTTTTGTTTTTGGCTGCTTGTTCTGATGATGTATTAATTGTGCTCTTTTTTCCCCTTTTGGTTATTCTCCCTGGCAGTCCCTCTCTTTGTTGTTGTTGTTTTTAATCAGCTTTTGGTTTCATTGATCCTCTTTAGTATATGATTGTTTTATGTATTTTTACTGGTTTTATGAGTTACTTCTTCACTAGTCTCTGATAGTGTAGCATACTCCTACCTATTCATTTCTTTGCCCTGTTTGAGAACACATATACTTGCTTGAACATGGACCTTCCTTCTCTGAAAATCTAGTTTGCCTTAGGAACTTGATATTTCTGTCCTCTATCCGTGTCTTTCTGCCATTATTCCCTAGGTAGTCATCTCCAGAAGAGAAAGCTTTTGGCCAGATCTCAGTTCTGAATTCTGGCACAGCCCAGGGGCTCTTACAAGCTTCAACCTACAGTTTTTGATTAATTTCTTGCAGCCTAATAGCTCTAATACTTGGGAGTGGTAGATGGTAGTTGAATTGAGCTATTAGTATGAACAAAAATGTCCAGTAACCATGAGAAGAAAAATCAAATTTTTGTCATTGAAATTAATACCAAATAGTCTCTCYTCTGTGTCTAGTTATGAAATTACCTTTTTAAAAACCTTCTGATTGACCAATGGATTTTTTTTCTTCTGTGAACATTCTCCTAATTGTTTCTGTGGGATGCTAATTTTTTTATTTTTACTTTTTTTTAAATGGTAATTGATATTACACAGGAAGATTGTTTCTTTGTCAAAACATTTATTGCCAATCTTAACATTTATTTTTTTTAGTTGAATCTAAAATCAATTGACTTCTTTCTTAGATGAATTAAAAATTTTCAAGAGTTACATATTCTTAGTAGATATTTTTTATTCCAAGTTTAGTACTAATTTCATTTGTTTTAATGTGGAACAGCTACCACTCATTACCATTTTATAAAATTTATGTATATTCCAAGGTAAACAAGTAGGCTGAGAAATTTTATGTAAAAATTTCCATCAGTGTGATAATGTTAATGTTTGCCAGTATTGCACATCACTTCTTTTGAGCATAATGGTAGTAAACCCTTGACTCAGTGGAAAGGCAAACATAATTGCTTTTTTAATGAAAATATAATTTTTAAAAATACTCAAATTTATAAGTTCTCAAAATTGCAAATAATGATATTTACTCTTCWGATTCAGTTATGATGCCTATTAAATGTATTGTCTTACCAGCAGGTATGAAATCCTTTAATGAAGAGAAATGACCACACACAATTTTTAAAAAGTTAAAAAGACTTTGTCAGGCATAAAGATTCATTGCAGAAAGGAAGAAAAGAGCATTCTGCATACCATAAGTTAGAATTATAAGCTTTCTTTACTCYCATAGACTTTAAGATTTCCTGAACCCATCATCTTCCAGAATTACTTGTGATGCACTAGGTTGGAATGTTTTCATTCACAACAATTAAAGAATGATACAGTGAGGAAAGTATTTTGGGTCTCTGCAGAATTTTTTTCTTTCTTCTTTTTTTTTTTTTTTTTAAAGAATATCTGGTGACACTGGGCTCTCTGTCAGCAACCTATAAACCAGTGAAGCCCTAAGCAACAAAGCAAGACCCTGTCTCAAAATTACAAATAATTTTAAAGAAAGGTCTGAGGATGTGGCTCAGTAGTTAAGAGCCCTAGGTTTAATCCCTGGTACCAAAAACAAAACAAAACAAAACAAAAACTGATCTTCAGTTTYGTTGATTAATGGAAGGGCTGATTTTATTTGCTCTGTGTAAGGTACCTCCTATGGTTGGAGGCCACCCTTTCTTTGTTTATGGTTAACATGTTTTCATTTATTTAAYCCAAGAAAAAAGGCTTCTCTAAAATACATTTATTCTCCTTTATCCATGGTTTCACTTTCGGTGTAGTTTCATTTACCTTCAGTTAGCCTCAATTTGAAAATATTAAATGAATATTCCAGAAATAATCCATCAGTTTTAAATTGTGTGCTATTCTGAGCAGTGTGATAAAATCTCATGCTGCTTCATCTTGCCTGGGAACATGAATCATCCCTTTGTCTAGCCTATCCTCATTGTATATATTGCTCACCCATTAGCCCSTTAGTAACCAGCTTAGATGACAAATATCAGATGGACTGTTGTGGCATCACAGTGCTTGGGTTCAAGTAACTCTTATTTTACTTAATAATGGCTTCACAGTCAAGAGTAGTGATGCAAAGGAAGCACTAGAGCATAAAGCTTGTAAGGACAGACTAACTGGTACCATGTGGCAGTACTGTAGCACAAATAGGAAAAATCATAATATATGCAGGGTTTAGTACTGCCTGAGATTTCAGACATCCACTGGAGGTATTGGGACACTCCCCTTCCCTCAAATAAAGGGTACTGAAATATGTACCAGGTTTTAATGATAATATTCCTTCACTAKTTGTATTTTTCAGTTTTCTGATAACTGTAACACATGCCTGAGGTAAATCAACTTAAAAATAAAAGATTTATTTTGGCTTGCAGTTTTAGACATTTCAGAACATGACCAATTGATCCCCTTGGTTTGGGTCTGCGGTGATACAGTATATCATAGCAGGAGTACACAGTGGTAGTGGTCCATTCATCTCATGACTGGAAATTAAATGAGAGGAAGAAAAAGAATCTAGAGTCCTGGTATCCCCTTCAAGGGCATGTTCATAATGACCAGAATACCTCTTGTTAGTCCCCACCTTCTAAAGGTTCAGCCACCTTCTAATAGTGCCATAGGCTGGGACCAGGTCTTTACCACAAGGGCCTTAGTGGGGACATTTATCCAAACCATAGCATTATCTGTGTGGACCTTGTCTATGGTTGATTCTTGGGAATGTTGCAGTGAACACTACTGATGGGGGTCAGGCACTTTGCCTGGTAATCACTGTGTGTATTATCACATTTAATTCTAAGGGCTCTGATGTAGATGTTATAAATGAATAATTTAAGGCTTAGCATGATTAACAGAATTACATAGTTAATAAGTGGAACCTAAGGTCCAGAGTTGATTTTTTAACACTATGGTTGAATACTTGTCATGAAAACATAAAGAAATATAGGCAGCATTTTTAAATTTTTGGTAATGAACCAGGCTGCATAAAGAAATAAAACAAAGAAATATATGTAACATTTAAAAAATTTTTGGTAATATAACCATATTTTATTATAATACAAATATATGTTCAATGTGAATATATACTTATAAAATATTTTTATCTTTGTAGCAGAAACATCTAGAGATTTTGTTATATTTGGGTTGCTGGGTCCCACCCTCAGAGTTTATTTAGTAGGTCTGGATTAGACTTGGGAAATACACATTGCCAGCAAGCTTCTGAGTCTACTGCTGGTCTTAGGGACCATACTTTGAAAATTTCTGTCCTTTCCATTTCTGCTCATCATGTTCTTGTAGATACTAACTATGCCATGACAGATCTTCCATACCTTGATTAGAAATTAGATTTGGTATAAATATGGCATTAATGTGCCCTGAAATCATGTTTTTATTTTTCTCCTACTTGTGTTTTTATGAGCAATTTGAGGCTATGTAGAAGGTTTTGAAAACATTTAAGAAATATGACCTAAGTATTTTTTTAACATTTTTATATCCTAATACAGCTTATGAGTTTAAATACAAATTTGCAGAAATTTCTGGGTTAGTTTTATTTTCTTTTTGAACTTTTTAAAATGCTTTAATAAATTATCTTTTAAACATTTTTTTCATTATCACAGTACCATTCAGCTTCTTTATGCTGATTATTTAAATCAGCCAGTATTTTTATTATTAATACCCTTGTGTGTAATATACACATACTTAAAATAGGCACAACAGTTGATTTAACTATTTTAAATATTCTGTTCATGCATGTTTCTGTAAATACAAGGATTTTCAAAATAGTTAAAACATTGCTGGCAGTTTCTGAACATAAAAAGGTATAACCTTTTCATTAAAGGATTTAAGGACATGATTCAGTTTCTTTTTAATTTTTACAGAAAAAAATTTCTTATTTCAAAGATTCTGCTTTTGTTTTCAGTGTTTTAGTCATGATGTTTATACATAAGTATTTAATTTTGTTGTTGAAGATTATGTTCAGAAGAATAGATGTGTGAATAGAGGGATGAAGTTAATTTTTAATTTTTTAAAAGGGATTAAAAATTTTTAACTATTGCCATAGTGTAATATTTATAATATTTTTAAAGTGAATATTTGAAGAATTGCAGGTAAGTGATATTTTCATATTAATATTTTAAAATTTAAAGATGTCTTATGTTAATTTTTTTTTGTTTTTATAGAGAGGATCTGACGAACTACTCTCAGGAAGTGTTCTCAGTAGTCCAAACTCTAATATGAGTGGCATGGTTGTTACAGGTAACTGTTATTCTCTTAATAAGCCTGTCATTTACTATTTTATGGAGTAGAATGTTAAAACTAAAATTTACTCTGTACTCTTAGTCTTTACTTTTAAATGCTGTGTTAAAACATTTTAAAGGAAATTTTATTGGAGTATTTATGTTCTTTTAATTTTTAAATGCCTTATTGAAATGTTTTAGAGAAAATTTTATTAGAGTATTTATGTTTCAAGTCAGAAATTCTGAAGTTGGTGACTTTATGGGCAAGTAACTTTAAGTCTTTTTTAAAAATTAAGTCTCCTTTTTCCCTGTGGTCCTGGAACTTAAACATAAGTCCTTGCACACSYTAGGCAAGCATTCTACCACAATAAATTTGTTTAAGACCTAAAGTCTTAAACAAATTTATTGTTTTTGATTATATATCATGATTTAATTTTTTAATTTTTTTTTAAATTTAAATTTACATATAGTAATTCAAATATGTACTGTGTGTAATTAGATTAGGGAATTGACATTTCTATCATCCCAGACATTATTACATCATTTATCATTTCAATGTGTTGAGATTACCTTGAAATCCTTGATTATTTATTTATTATTTATTGAGATGAGGTCTTGTTATGTTGCCCATGTTATCCTAGAATGCAGTAGCCTTCTGTGATCCTCCGTCCTGCCTCAGCTTCTCAGACTCCTGAATAGCTGGGACTAAAGACATTGTCACTGCTCCTGGTTCTTGATTGCTTTTTTTTTTTAAACCACCAAAGTATAACCATTCCTCTTTCCTGTTATAATCTCAGATGCCCCTTTTATATTCTTCTTGTATTTTTATTTTTTTTGTTTGTGTCATCTGTTTTGAAGTATTTCTTCTTTATTCCGTGAATTCTAAAGCCTAAAGTATAAATAAAGACCAGACAATTAAGGTACATCATTTTCTTTTTGTGGCATCATCCTTTTTTATTTGTGCCAATATTTTAATTCTTTGAATTGATTTTCCTTAGGTTATCTAGTTGGAAATTTAACATGATTTATTTAGTCTTGTTTTTCCTGAATTCTGTATATCTTATATTATATTGTTGATTAATGTCCATCTGTAAATAAATTTGAGACCTTAGTTTTATGGCTAAAAGACCAAAGTCAATACATATTTTTACTAATTTTTCTGTGCAGTGATTACACAGCAAAACCACAAGGCCATGGTTTTGTTAACCAAAGTGTCATGTGCAGATAATTGAAAAAAGTCTCAATTGTCTGTAACTCTTGCTTTGTCTTTTTTTTTTTTTTTGACACAATACATAATACTGTTTGAATGGTTTTTTTATTTTTATTTCTTAGTTGTCAGTGGACCTTTATTTAATTTATTTATATGCAGAGATTTGAACCTAGGCCCTCACACATGCCAGGCAAGTGCTCTGCCACTGAGACACAACCCCAGCCCCTCTGTTTGAATGTTTTAAAAGTTAATATTCAGGATCATGAGAGAGTAAATGATAGCAGCCTTGGCCTCTTTTTTTCCAGTGTACCCCCCAAACCAAAAGCTGTGTAACAGAATAAAATACTTAGGACAGCTGCTGTCTGGAATTGATGAACAGAAGTACAAGATCACTATCTTGAGTGAAAGGATACACATGAGGAGAATCTATTAACTTTCAACTTTGGAGTACCTTTCTGCTTTAGCACAGGGAAATAGAGCCTGAGTAAAGCATAGAAGTCTCACTGAAGAGACTGAGATTGGAATTTAGAGGAGCTCAAACATCTGAGATTTGTGGGAAAGGGTTCTGAAGAAAAGAAATTGTTAAGAGGTTTAAGCATTGGGCAGTGGGCAGAATTTGGTGTAGTTCACTTCATTTATAATTTTGGATAATGGCTAGGTTTCATATGTGCGGGCAGAGACTTCGCTAAATGTATCAGAAATTGCCTGCTCTGGGCCTGGCAGCTACATGGTGATTCTGTAGGTTGAACAGTGCTCAGAAACATTGGAGTTTTGGAAAGTTAGAATGCATATACCTTGCAGAGTATCTTAAGCACCCACTTTAGAATACAGAAAGCCCATGACATAAAAGAATCATATTCTAGGAAGTGCCATGCATCAAAGAAACTTGAAAGTCTAACCTGACAGGATGTGAAGGATTCATCAGTAATTTAATTGCCTGCCAAAATAAAACAGCAGTCTTTATGGAAGACAACAAGATTCAGGCTTACAACTGTTGTCCATTGGTAGCATGCCATCAAAAAATACAAGTTGTACTTGGATGTGGTGGCACACGCCTGTCATCCTAGCGACTCAGGAGGCTGAGGCAGGAGGATCGCAAATTCAAATCGAACCTTAGTGAGCTAAGCAACTCAGTGAAACTCTGTCTCTAAATAAAATACAAAAAAAAATAGGGCTGGGGATGTGACTCAGTAGTCAGGTGCTCCAGAGTTCAATCCCCGATACTGCCCCCCCCCCMAAATACAAGTTGTGAAAAAGCAGAAAAGCAAAACCTATAAACCAGAGAAGAAACATTCAATAGGAGCAGATTCTTATAATGACCTAGTTATTAGAATTAGCAGACAAGGACTCTAAATATTTTCAAACTATAAAGGAAAAATTTGACATAATGAGTGAACAGATGGAGTAATGTGTTGAGAACTATAAAGAAAGCATATAAAAAAAGTCTAATGGAAAACTAGAAAATTTACTGGTTAGGATTAATAGAATGGAGACAACAGAAGAAAGGTTAGAACTTGAATTCAGATGGATATAGTTCATTCAGTATTCACCCAAAGAAGACAAAATATACCTGTGAGACATTCAAGCAGTCTTAACATATATATAATTGGAATTCCAGAGAATGAACAGACAAATTAGGGCAAAAAAATGTGTCTTTTGCATATATGTGTTTATATTGTGTTCAGAAAATGGAGCAAAAAATGTATTCTATAAAAAGTATATCTTATATATGTGTGCATGGAACTAGAATGACCAAAAACTTGTAAAATATTAGAAGAAATATCAACAACATAGTTCTAAGAAACTCAGTAAGCCTCGTGTGTAGATGTATGCTTAGATACATAATATTGAAAACTAATTATTATAATAGTTACAATATTGAAAACTAATCATAAAGAATACCTCTTAAAAACAGCTAGGAAAAAGACATTTAACAGGAAATCAACACCTGTACTAAAATAACAGCTGATATCTTTAGACTGTGTGGCATTGTAGAGCTGCAGGAAGGTAGAGAGGAGTATTGGTAATGGTAAAGATGTTAGAAAACAAAACCTGCTCTCAATTTTGTTGAAATTCCATGTCTTGTCTCTAAAAATAACAAAAGAAGTATAGATAGCGAAAAGCTATAGTGAAAAAATTGGAACATTGACTGCCTATCAAGAATTACTGTTAAACTACAGTAATTAAAACAGTATTTTGTTGGTGCAAAGAAAGATGAACAGATCAGTGGAACAGAATCGAGAGTTCAGAAGTAAACTCATGCAATTATGGACAACTGATTTTTGATAAAAGTGCAAAGTCAGTTCAGTAGAGAAACAGTTTATTTGAATGCTGAAAAAATTGGGTATAGCCATATGCAAAAACAACAACAACAACAACAACAAAAAAAAACCTAACTGGACCTGTATCTTCCAGTTCATATGAAAGTTAGCTTCAGATGGACCATGACCTAAATGTAATACCTAAAATAAAACTGCTATATGAAAAATAGAAGATGTGACTTAAGGTTAAGCAGAAATTTCTTAGACATGACTCTAAAAGCACAGTCTATTAAAAAAACAAATGGAACTCGACATCAAAATTAAACATTTCTGTTCTTTAAAAGATACTTTTTTTAAAAAAATATGTTTTTAGTTGTTTATGGACCTTTATTTTACTTATTTATATGTGGTGCTGAGAATCGAACCCAGTGCCTCACACATGTGAGGCAAATGCTCTACCACTTAGCCATGATCCCAGCCCAAAAGACACTGTATTAATTTTTTTTGTAGTTGTAGATGAACAGCATGCCTTTATTTTGTTTGTTTATATGTGGTACTAAGGATAAAACCCAGTGCTGCACACATGCTAGGCAAGCGTTCTGCTACTGAGCTATAGCCACAGCCCCAAAAGACAGTAAGAGAATGAAAAGATAAGCCATCAGGTGGCAGTACATCTCTACAAAGAAGTAGTTGATAAAGGACTTATATTCAGAATGTATATGTAAATTCAGAGTAAGTAAACTCAATAATGTGACTATTTTAACCAGTTGGCCAAAATATTTGAACAGGTAGTTCAGCAATATGTTGAGACATAAACACATGCACAGTGTCTTATTACTGTTCAGATAAATGTAGATTAAAGCTACAGTCAGATAACATTACATACCTGTCAGAATGACTAAAATTTAAAAAGACTGACCTTACCAAATGTTGGAAAGAATGTGGAGGAACTATGACACTCATAAAGCTGATACAAGTTTAAAATTATAGGGCTATTTTGGATAACAATTTGTCAGTTTTTTAAAAAGTTAAATATTATTACTTTCTCTGTGATCCTCCTGTTTGCTAGGCATTTATCTAAGAAAAATGAWGAAGATATATGTTCATTAAAAAACTTGTATGTGAATGTTCATGGCAGCTTCATTTGTAATAACCCCAAACTAAAACTATACAATTGTCCATCAGCAGAGGATGGATAGACGGGTGGTTGTTTTGGCATTATGTGTTGTTTCATACTATGGAAAATTGCTCAGCCATGTTGAGTGAGTTATTGATTGTAACAGTAGGGTGAATTTCCAAATTACATTGTGGGAAATATGGGAGAAAATCATCCTGTGTGATTATATTAATTTGAAACTCTACGAGATTTAAACTAAAGCAAATTGGTGTTTGCAAGGAGTACTGAGGATGGTAAGGGTGGTAGGAATACGGTGGCAAGGGGACACAAGGAAACTTGGGAGTGATGGATATATACACAGTCATATCTTGGTGTCTGTGAGATTAGTTATAGACACCTGCCCCCACTCTCACTCCCCATACCAAAATCCAAGAATTCTCAAATCCGGTTATGTAAAATGTCAGAGTATTTGTATATAACCTACACACATCTTCCTGTATGTTTAAGTTATGTCCAAATTAATAATAATATCTAATTCATTGGCTATACATTATTTCTTTTGGGTGGATATAGTCTTGGATACAGTTGACGTGAAACTGAAGGTAAAAGCCAGTGGAAAACAAAGATGTTCATTTGAGGATTTGAAGTCCATAAATCTCCTCCTTAAGCTTGAGTCTTTAAAATAACTGAGTAGTATATGAAAATGTTATTACTTTGTATCTCCAACTTATATGCATGAGTAAAAGCATTACTATATTCTTTGTTAATTGARTATAAAATTTTACTTTCCAAACTATTCTGGGTTTACCAGAATGGAAGAGAAAGGATCATGCGTAGAAGTCTAAATTATTCTGTTTTTCTAAGGAATCATAGATYTGAAGTCCAGACAGACCTAATTCTTTCTCTCTCATAGGGTATATGTAGATGTTTCATAAGCTGAGGCCCTGCATTTTCTTTTGCCTTTTTATTAAGAATTCTCATTTCCCATTTTCACATTGTTACAGTATAAGTTACTTAAAACAAAGACTTTCATAGCACCAACATATGAATACTAGGTGGCTACTCTCTTGATACTGTTAACTGAGAGAATATCAGATAGTGGGAAGAGAGAGAGTAAATTTTGATGACTACCTGATAGCTGGCTTGGTCTTTGGGAAAAAAAGGAAAGATCTTTTTAGGTCATCATCTGTAATGTGAAATTTGTCTTTGGGATTATTTTGTAGCATAGTAGTTAGAACATAGGCCATAGAACCCATACTCTCTGGTTTTTAATACTTTTTTTACTACATCTGTCTTTACCACTTAGTACCCATTTTAKTAATTGAGCATTTAACCAGCTTTTACCTATAAATAGGATTGATGGGTCATAATAACAGCAATCTTAAGAGTTTTAAATTGCACAACCTGTTAACTTTTTGAATGTTATTATTGATGTAAAGGACAATTGCATCTTTCTATATTTTTTCAAGAAACCAAGATTTTTATCTTATTCTTTGTCAATAGTATTCTACCTTCATCTGCTGCCACTGTCCAGAAAATGTACAACACAAATCCAAAGCAATAAATTATTCTCTTAGTAGATTTAGGCAGGCTTTTGTATTGTGGGGATTATATTCTGAAAATCATTTGAAAGAAAAAGCCTTTTTTCCTTATAGGAATAACTATAGGTAGAATCTTTATTGTTGGTTTTCTCCCCTTGACTTACTCTCAGAAGGAAAAGGACAGACAAAAGTAAGTGAAACTGAAATTTGCTGGTKTGAGTATCCTGAAATCATAACTCATGGGGTTCAGCTTATGAARTATTTGCCCTTGCTATTCAAACTAATGAAGAAGAATAAACTACAGATTTTCTATTCTTGAGACTGTTTTATCAGGAAAAGACCTTAGTCCTACATCAGAGGAATATGTGTATGTGCTAATTATATGTTTTAAGATACCTGTGTATGTTTCGATTCCCTGCTTTAACTTACACAGACCTAATGATAATTTGTTAGATAAAATGATATAAAATAGAAAGTTGGGGAGCCTGTGTGTGCACAAATCTTCCTCAGTAATGAAAGGAGGTGTGAATAGCTTCCTTTMGTTGCTCATATTTCTGGAGTGTAGAAGAGCTAGCAAGCCAAGATTTTCAGAATAATATATTCAGAAGCCTGAGCTCACTACTTTTCCTGTACAAAGGCAGCATAGGGTAATTATTAAATACATTGGCCAGCCATTCAAGTATATATGCCTAGGTGAAACTCTTAGTAAAATGATGGCTTTAAGTATAGCTTGACRTAATGAGTTCACATCTTATCTCATAGAGATACTTTCTATGGTCATACAATAAAGTCATTACTACCATCCTCTAGTAGTCCTCAGATAAATCACTTTTAATCATATCACTCTGTTTTAGTTGATTTATAGCATTTATTATTACACAAGARATTACTTGGTTTATGTACTAGTTAGTCTACCTCTCCTTCTATAGGAATTGTAATCATCTTTTATACAGCTGTATTTCCATAGCTTAAAGCAGTTCTAAACACATTTTTATACTCAGCAAATGTTTGAAGAATCAGTATGTAAATGAATTTTGAGGACAGATCAAGGTAATCTCAGAATTTTATTGATAACTTCTGAATGTACATTATATTGTTTTAGATGGTATTACAAGTTTGGGAGGAGTTTGATGAAATACATAAAATTTGATACAAAATAGAGTATGCATGTATGTTTCTGAATGGAGACAGTTTCTCAAAAAATAAAAAGGGCCAGGCATGTGGCAAGTGATCCTGGGTTCAATGCCTAATACAAAAAAAAAAAAAAAAAAAATGCTAGGGGGTTGTGTCCTTAATTTTGGTTAGAGTCTCAAATGTCAATTATTCTTGAGTACCTAGAAGATATGATTAATGATTGATCTGCTTTAGTGGATAAAGTGGACATCTTTTCAGATGATTCTGCATAAAACCTAGCCTATTTTATAGGCATCTTAATTAGAGATTTTTACTTTTTGTGAGCTTTAGAATGAAGGCAAGGAAATAATTTATTGATTGAGATATTAGTTTACTTTAAAGTTTAGTTACTGAGTTCATGAATGATTTATAGTATGTTGATATTTGAGTTCATGAGTAATTTACAGTATGTTGATATTAATAGTCACAAAGTAGTTAAATACATAGATTGTATGGTGATAATAACAAATTAGGAGAGTCTCATGGTATGAATGGATTACATAATAATTTTTATTTTATTCTCTTCTTTCATCCTGTTATKTAGTAGGACATTTTCTAAGTTTAACAGTGTATAATTTCTCAAATTATGAACTTCCTGATTTTTATTAACCCAATTTTTTCACATTTTTTTTTTCACATTTATCTGTTCCCCATGTAGAGTTTTGCTTTATTTACTGGCTTCAGCCTCAGCTGAAAATATTGAATAGAAAATTCCAGAAATAAAAAATTCATAGGTTATTAGTGTTGTACTGTTCTGAGTTCTGTGATGAAATCTCTTGTCCTACTCCCCCAAAATGTGAATTATCCCTTTGTTCAGTGTATCTACATTGTATGAGCTAATCCCCTGACACTTAGTAGCCATCTTGGTCATAAGATTGTCTAGGTACCCAGTGTTTGTGTTCTAGTAACAATTTACTTGGCCCTAAAGTTCAAATTTTCATTTCAGTTTGTTACASTTGTTCTCTTATCTCTTATCTCTTATCATGTCTAATTTATAAATGAAATTTCATCATAGGTTAGTATGCATAGGAAAAAAAACATGATATATGTAGAATTTGGTATTATCCATGATTTCAGACATACTCTGGGAATCTGGGAATGTATTCAGATAAGGGGGACCTGATATATTTGTGTTGGTCTGCAAAAGGATGGCTAAATTGCAATAATTGTTTTTTAGTTATTGTATGGTTTCTTTATGAAATTGCATTTTTATATTTTGGCTAATCACTTTATTACTATGTATATCAGAAATATTACTTGATAGCAATCATAACTTAATGGCTAACGTAATTTTATTTAATAATAATTGATGGATATGGTTTTCTCCATTTTATTGAAAGCCCAATTTTTGAATTTTTAGGAATCACTTAAGTGTAAAGACTGTGTTTTTAAATATCTTTCAGCCAATGGTAATGATAGTAAGAAATTTAAAGGAGAAGATAAAATGGATGGTGCTCCTTCTCGTGTACTTCATATTCGAAAATTACCTGGTGAAGTGACAGAAACTGAAGTTATTGCTTTAGGCTTACCTTTTGGTAAGGTAACCAACATCCTTATGCTGAAAGGAAAAAACCAGGTATATTTCTTTCAAGGTTTATGAAATGTAAAACCACAAACTATTCAGCAAACTAGTTTACTTAACAGTGGCCCTACAGTTCAAATTTTTATTTCATTATATTGTTATAATTTTGATTAACTGTCACTTAGTAAAAGGATTAGTTTTCTGAAAAAAAATATTTTAAATGTATTCCTCTAACTTTTCCTGGTAGTTGCATATGGGAAACTACTGATAGATAGCAAAAATGAATGAGTCACAGCCGTTTTCAGATTTTATCTTTTGAACTCATTTTATCACTTTGGTTTTGAGGAAGAGTCAGAATGATGTTGTGGCAGTATTTCTTTTATTGTATGGTATTTTTTTCTTTGTGATTTCAGAAATCAGTAGGGATGCTGGTAGCGTTTTAACCTTAAGTTTATCCAATGAAAATATTTATCTGGTAGCATTTAGCGGAAATTAGTCATTAAATCTGGATATTCTTCATTTAGCATGTGTAACAGCATTAGGGGTCAGGTATAATAAATAGGAAATCTTGTCTTAAAATTTCTAATAATACTATTTAGATGAATTTATAAAATTAATATTCTCCTGTCTATAGCTGATGTTAATCTAACCTTCAATATTTAATGACTTTGAGACCTCTTATATTTTCTAGGTTAGGAGCATTAGAATTCTGATGCTGGGAAATGTTTATATTTTCTTTAGTTTTTAGTTGATAGAAATAGATTTGTGAGCTATGGAAAGTAGAATGCAGCAGCAGAGTGTATGCAAATGCTTTCTTAGGTTAGCTTTAATTGTATACCGAAACTTCAGTAACACACTTCTAATTTTTCTTCTTAGAGCATGTAAATTAACAYCAAGGCTATATTTTAGATTGCATAGATATTTGAATTATAATTCATTATTTATTTGAGTTTAATTTAATAGTATTTTATATATATATATTTATTTATTTWTTGCTATTTAAATTATCAGGCATTTTTGGAACTGGCAACAGAGGAAGCAGCTATTACTATGGTTAATTACTATTCTGCTGTGACACCTCATCTTCGTAACCAACCAATTTATATCCAGTACTCCAATCACAAAGAACTAAAGACAGATAATACATTAAACCAAGTGAGTATGTGTGGGTACATAAATAAAATGGCTTCAAATGTATTAAGAATCTCATAAGTAAAAGAAGATAAAATGTTTAGCCATTCAGAAGATATTTCTGTAGGTATTTTCTTATTATTTTTAAGGTGTTTTTATGCATAATATCATATTCTTATTTAAATTCCTTTAATGCCCTGGTTAGAAGTTTGTTTTGTTTTGTTTTGTTTTTGTTGCAAGTTAAAATTTTGTGTAGATACAAATGTTCTGTTTATGATATAGAAYTTACTATTAGCATAAACTGTACTGCTGCTTAGATTTTAAGTTGGGATGTTCAGTGCCTTTGGTGATTTGATTCTTTATAGTACACCTTCATTTCTTATAGAAAAAAATCCTTTTTAAGATCTGTTMATAATTTTCCTGGAATATAAAACATAAGAAGGAAAAATATATGAATGTATTATTGGTTTTATAAAAATATGGTACAGAAAATGTTATTTAAAATTATGTTCAAAAATAGCATACAAATGTGTTTAGAGCTAAATATGTAGGATTGCTGTAAAAACTTCTCTTTTTTAATATTTTTCAGYCAATTATACTTTTGTGTTGAGTAATATAAATATAGTAATATAAACTATGTCTTATTTTATTGAAAATTTAACAGGAAATAATTCCTGATAAATTTTCATCACTTTGTAAAAAGTGACCTGAGATCCCCTTGTTAGTTTTCAAAAAGTAAGCTTGTAATGTTTTTGCCTGAAAGGGCCAATATTTCAGCTGTTTTTGTTGGTTTAATTTTCAGTATAAACTCTTAATTCCTTCTGATGAAGTGAACTTCTAAAATACCGTGAAATATACCAAAAAGAATATCTGTTCTTTATTTTTTTAACTTAGATTTTACATTTGTTTTTACTATTTATTTTAAATTGATAAATAATAATTGTGTAGTGTTTATGGAGTATAATGTGAGATTCAATATATGTATACMTTTTAGGATGATCAGATCAGACTAACTTATCTACCATCTCAAATATTTTCCATTTTTTTTGTGCTGAAAACATTTAAAATTGATTCATTTACTATTTTGAAACATAAAATATGTTATTATTAACTGTAGTTTTCAAGCTGTACAGTAGATCACCAGAACCTGTTCCTTCTGAGACCTTGTATCCTTAGACAAACCTCCCCACACCCTCCCATACCATTGCTGTCTTGGTAGCACTGTTGGCTCTATATTTGTGAATTGTTTTTTCAGAGTCTACATTTAAGTAAGATCATGTGGTATTTGTGTCTCTGTGTCTGTTTTATTTCATTTAATATACTCTGAAAATGGAATTTATTATCCTAATTTAWTTATTAGTATTTTTATTAAAGTAATTTGTGAACACATTTTTATTTTTATTTTACTTTTGCTGTGCTGGGTATCATATTTAGGACCTTGCACATACTAGCCAAGCTATCTATCTACCCCTTAGTTATACCACCAGCACCACATTCTTGCTTTAAAAAAATAAAATAAAAAATCGAAAGAAAGCAATGAACAAAGAATAAAAATAAAGAGTCTGTAGAAGGATGTATGTGGGAGAGAGGGAATTGTAATTTAAAATAGGATGACCACTGAAAGCCCATTGAGAAGGAACATTGGATACTGAATTACAAAGTGGTTAAGGAGTAAGCCACTTATTCCAGTCAGAGTTATTTTAGACTGAACAAAGAATGCAAAGTTCTTTCTGTTCAGGGGAGTGGGAAAAAAAAAAAAAACTGTTTTGAAGTCATAGTTTTAATTTTAAATGTCCTTCAATCTTTTTTATATTGTAGTTGTCACATCTTACGACTTATTCTTTGAGAATTTCAATTACAATATTTTTTTAAAACCTTAGTATACACTGAATTGTCTTTTTTGTTCAGTGTTAGCTGTTTATCTTGTTCTAACTCTCCTTCTAAACCTTTTGTTTGTTCATATTTCAGAATGCATAATTAGATTTTGTTGTACTCTCATGCTTTCCCCATAGGGTAAAGTAATGAGGAGTTGAATACTAAGCTGGTTCCCCCATCCCCACCACCATTAGTGCTAAAGAGGCATCATTTAATCTGAGCCAACAAAACTTCCTTTAGAACTTCTGATGACTTTAAGGGAGGGTGTGTTATTATTTTTGTTTTTCAGTTGTAGGGGCTGTCAAAGAGGAAAGAGGAGTTTAACTGTTTGTACATTGGCTAGATGTTCCATTAATCTTTTTGTATTCATTCTCTTCCCTTCTCCTGCAAACCTGTCTGGTTTTAATCTGATTTCTGTAATTGTCATCCCTTCATTGCTATGTTTTTACTATGTCTTCTGCTCCTTTTGGTTCCATTCATTTTTCTCTTTCTGGGGAATTTAATTTTCAGCTAATGATGACCTTCTTTGCCTTTAGTGATTGCATTTGTTTCATTTGCTATATACTTATAGGAATTAGAGCTTCCTAATAGAAGAGAGACAAAATGAAATATGTTTTAACCATAAATTCTCCTACAGTCCTTCATTAATCACCAAATCCTATCAATTCATTATTAATTTTCTACCTACTGTATTTCACTGCATAATCATTGCCAATTTTATGCCAAATTATTTTCGAATAAGAGAGGGGTGTGACAGTTAGGTGAAGCATTTTTTAAATTGTGCCAGTATTACTTCAGAATTATTTATTATTAAACTGGCTTTGCAAGATTAGGGTGTACGCAGTATTCATGAATATATGTCCAAACTGGTGCRCATCATTTCTTTGTGATAGTTTAGCAAACATTTTTCCAATGTGGGAAAAAGAAAGTTAACACATAGTTGTTACTGATTTGTGCATTACAGTCTAAATATTACACTTGATAAAATTTACTACAGTGTTGCAAAGTATGTACTTAACAAAATTTAATCTCTTGTGTCTGAAGATTCTGCACTGCTGATTGGTTTCATTAATTGATGTGCTGTTCTCAATGCCACTTATATAAAATTTATTTACTGTTAGTAGTGCAGCATTGTAAACAAACCACACAAGTCAGCTTTCAGAATATACTGAAAACRTGTGTGCATTGAGAATTCTGGGCTTGTGGCTCACAGTGCGCAAGAAGACAAATGCACATCCATATGCCACTGGTGAATACGCTGCTGCTCTATTTACGTTTTAATCWGAGTGACCAACAGAGTTATACCATGCAACGAGTATGCAATGAAAGGTTATAGTGGCAACAATTGGGCCGTAAAATATGGTAGTTTTTGCCATCTCTCCTGCTACATATATTGCTCAGACACTATTGTCTCTTGGCTATATTACAACAGTTTCTTTACCAATCTACTGTCTTTTCCTCCTTGAATTTTTTTTTCTAGTACAACCAAGTCCATATCTTTCTAAAGCACACAAGCCCAACTAAGTTATTCCCCTGCAGCAGGTCCTTTTCATGAATAAAGATCTATTCCAAGGTGACTATATATTTTTTGTCTTGTGGCCATCTGTTTTCATATACTTCTGTCTTGAAAGTAATGATAGGTCCTCTAACATGACATGGTTTCTCTTCATTTTAGTCTTTTACTACCACTGTGCTCTCACTTATACATGGAATATTGTGCTCTGCTTGCCTTTGTACCAATTTTTCATTCCTTACTTTACATGGCCAGTTGTTAAATCTAGCTGTTTCTTTTTCTAGAAAGCTGTCCCTGATCCACAAATAGTGGATTGGGTTTGAGGGCTTTTAATGCAGATTAAAATCACAGTAAGATACTACCATAAACATACCAGATTGGCTAAAATTTTTTAAATATGTATTATCAAGTGTTTGGTGTTAATGTAGAGAAGCTAATATACAAGAGGTGGGAGTATAAATTGATAGAAAACCTGGAGTACCCACTAAAGTTGGACATAGGCATGTCTTTGACTTAGTAAATCTAATCCTAGTATGTATTTGAGAGAACCTATTATATATGTGAAACAAAAGRTTAATTCAAGAAAGTTTATATAACTATATATAATACCCCAAAGGTGGAAGTGATCCAAGTATCCAGTAACAATAGAATAAATTTTGGTGTATTTATTCATTGAAATACTGTGTGGCAATAAGAATGATAAGCTATTACCACCTGCAAAACATAGGTGTTTATCATAAAATAATTTTTATTGAAAGAGGCCAGATGAAAACAGAATATATATGGTATTATTCCATTTATATAACTGTGACTAGGCATGAGTTAGACTTCTAGAGCATTAATAATGTCCCTTTTTTAAAATAGGGGTAATTATTTTACAGAGATGTGCAGTTTGTGATATTTTATTGAACACCATTCGTAGGATTGGTGTCCTTGTCTCTGTATATGATTTTTCCCCCCTCCACTACTGGGAACTGGAGCAAGGGGTACTTTCCCACTGAGCTATATCCTCAGCCCTTTTAATTTTTAATTTCAAGACAGAGTCTCTAAGTTGCTAAGGCAAATCTCAAACTTGGAAACCTCTTGGTCATCCTTCTGTGTTGCTGGGATTRTAGGCATGTGCCATCACACCTAGTTTCTGTGTATATGTAGTGTTTTGATAAGTTCATTTAAATCTAGATTAGCCATCTTAATTGCATGAATAGAAAAATAAACATCTAATAAGTCATTTGTTACTGATAGAAGAGAACACAGTTGTTAGGCTAAAAAAGGAAGATGGAGAACAATGAATAATATTAGGGAAAAAAGTATGAAGTAGTTGCGTGCATATATGTCTATATATGTAGATAGCCATCTCTGGAGTAATACCCAAGATCATTTTGGTATTGGGATGATAAGGGAAAACAGACTTGTGAGTCGGAAGAGAAACTTCACCTTTTATTTTAGTTCAATTGTATATCATGAGCATTTGATTCCTATTTTTTAAAAAGCATTTCATTATTTGTAGCAGTATATGTTAGTGCTTTTCTAAGTTGTGGTATTTTGTGYTCGTTATTGTAGATAAATATATGTTAAGAACGTGATCACTAAAGAGGAAAATAATATTGCAGTGAACTACTTAAAATAATTAGAAAAATTAAGTACTCTAGAAACCTTTTAAAATATATTTTCCATAGTAGCATTAGGGTGTCTATTATAAATATTCACCATGCCTCAAAATAACAGGTTTTAATTGAGTTACTTGAGCTAATATATATATACATATATATAAGTTCACAGTTCATTATTTAATTTAAATGATGAGGCTTGTCTAGATGAGATTTTGTACTTCTTAAATCTCAAGCAACATGATCCCTGGTAGTATTTCAGGGATTCTTACTTATTTTTATTAGTGAACATTCTTATTTATTCTTATTGGTGTCCTAATTCTTTTGTATTCTCCTTCCATTTCATCTATCACTATAGTATGTTTRTATTCTAATTTATCTGCAAATGTAGATTTTTCAAACCATAAATTAATGTAAAGAGATTTGTCATTGTTATGTGTAATAATTATTTACTTTGGTGTGTGTTTTCTAACATTGGATAAGGTAGGAAGAAATTATTTWCTTATCAGAAATCTGTTAGAGTAATAGAAAAAGGTATATTAGTGATAATATACAGTTTTTTTAGTGCATTGAACAAGATTTCCTAAAACTACTATATTTTTTCAATTTTATGTTAATCTTTCACACTTAAAGCTCAGAGTCTTATAATAATCTATCAGTTAGGACAATTTTTTTTGAATAATCCAGTAGTTTTCTTGTTGAGATTTGCTGTATACCTATTTTATGGAATGAATAATGTTAGATTAAACTTTTCCTAAAGAAAAGTTTTTGTTAACCAATATAACAGATCACATCCTGTTATATTGTCTATTTTTGATTGTTTGTCCAATGTAGGTGCCAAAACCTAAGTAACATTTTTTAAATAATACCAGTAGAATATGTGAATTACAGACAGACCGTAGTATAACATGTGACAAAGTATGAGTGAAAATGATAGGTGTATTTTTAAAACTACTTTCTTTTTACATTTTCAGCGTGCACAAGCAGTGCTTCAGGCTGTGACAGCTGTCCAGACAGCAAACACTCCTCTTAGTGGCACCACAGTTAGTGAGAGCGCAGTGACTCCAGCCCAGAGTCCAGTACTTAGAATAATTATTGACAATATGTACTACCCTGTAACACTTGATGTTCTTCACCAAGTAAGTTTAATTTACATACTTATCTATAAAGAGAAGAAATAGTAATACAATAGAGAAGAAATGTTTTGCTTTTAATGTTTTAACAGATATTTTCGAAGTTTGGTGCTGTATTGAAGATAATCACATTTACAAAAAACAACCAGTTTCAAGCTTTGCTCCAGTATGGTGATCCAGTAAATGCTCAACAAGCAAAACTAGTAAGTCTAGAGCTTCTTTTGAGTTAGTGGTATTTTTTCATTTATTTTTATATATATAAAATATGTATATATTATATATATAATGTACCCCTATGTATATTTATTATTTACATATACATAAAATATGTATATGCTTTATATATATATAATGTACCTATGTATAGTGTTATAGATATTTGTGATATATACCTATGCATATATAACATAATATATTGATCCTTATGTAACTTAATAATGCATATAGCATTATAGATAGTAAAAATATTAACATAATTTAGGATACCTTAATAATTATAAAAATGTATATTTTAAGGATAATCATGACTGTAGTTACATAGACTTGAATTATTTTACATTTAAAAAAATTTTTTTTATTGCATTTTTAAGTGCAAAGTTTTGGGCTATTGAGAAGATAGGAGTGTATTGTGCATGCACACCTTTATCAGGATTTTTTGTAGTTTCCAATGGGAGTTTCAAAGTAATTTTGAGATAGTTTGGATTAAATATATAATGTAAATGTAGTTCAAATGCTGTGATAAGTTTTGATTTAAGATTATATCTTAATATTCTTTTAATGATTTCCTTTTTTAATAAAGACAGATTTCTTAAATAGATTCTGCTCTTTAATTCATATCTTTTGTTTGTTTGTTTGGCATTGTTAGATATGGAGGGGAAGAGATTTACTAATAGAAGTAAATTTCTGCATGTTACCTGCCATTGAAAACTACCATGCTAGTATATTTTGCTTCCAAATGGCTAAATCTTCTTTTTTGTGTATCTTACTTAATTCTATTTTATTGTCTGTTTAACTTCCTGTGCCATATTTTCTCATTATTATTATTCCATTAATTAAACCATTAAAAATACATTATGAAACCATTAAATCTTTATATACCTTTGTCTTAGCTCATTTTCTTTCTTTCCCTTATTTTTAAACTAATTATGGTTTCTAGTATTACAGTGCTTCTCTTGATCAAGGTTATTTATTTGGAACTCAGACCATTTTTGACTTTTGCTTCATTGTATTTTCATCCTCAGTGTCTCATTTGGGGAGATGCTTTAGGTAGCAGAAACTCTGTACTACTAATGATAGCATAATKATAATAGTTTACCAAGTACTCTTATTCCATTTTTTTCTCACCATTAATCTGTATTTTAAATAGAATAGGGATTTTTCCCCTTCCTTTGTTACAGAATGATCCTAAGATGTAAAAAAGGTGTATTGCTTATAATACACACAATCTGTAAGGTAGACATTTTTCAGATAGTCTTTTTATTCAATATGTTGCTACTCRCTCAGTGGTTCCCAGGTTATGTGAACTCATCTTACTATGCTTTCCTTTTAAGGCATACGTTAACTATGATCATTCTTTTTTCCCCAAAATAATGGTTCTTGGCATGCACTGACCCCGCCCCCAACATTGTATATTGTATATAAAAAATATAATATTTTGTATACATCGAGTTACCAAAATCAGTGTTATATGAGTTTTTATTAAGAGACAATGTAGAAGCCATGGTTTTAACAGCATTTTTTGCAACTTTAATTATATTTTAAAATGGTATACATTTTTTTGATGTAGAATATTTTATTTGCCATTCTCTTCTGATCCTAGAGGAAAAGTATTTGGTAAAGAAACAGTGAAGAAGGGGATAGGAAGGGCAGCAGAATACAACAGACACTAGTATGACAGTATGTAAAAACGTGGATGTGTAACCGATGTGATTCTACAATCTGTATACATCTGTATACGGGGTAAATATGGGAGTTCATAATCCACTTGAATCAAATGTATGAAATATGATATGTCAAGAGCTTTGTAATGTTTTGAACAACTAACAATAAAAAAGAATAAAATTTAAACAAACAAACAAAATAAACAGTGAAATAGGATTTGATTAGAAGTTTTAGTGCATTGGGCTGTAATTCTTACAGGAAAAATATGTGTGCATCTTGTCTGAAGTAATCTGTAGTTACATTTAATTTCATGATAAAAGAGTGCCTCAATTATGTTATATGTTTGAGATTTTCATTTAACCAGTCTTTGGTGTGCTGATAAGAAGCATTAAACCACAGGTGTTTGTGTATGTTTATCTTCACTCACTTATATCTTCTCTACAAAGATYTAAAATTATAATTAATTCTAAGAGAGGAGATGAGTATGTTATTAAGTATGTATTCTATATTCTGGTAATTGAACTTAATTTCATGGCACTTACTCAAGAAGGGAAAAGGTCTTTATTTTCTAAGCTTCCTTGCCCCATTGTTATATGATCTAGACCTCTTGGTAAAATTTTTGATGACTTCACTTCTGCACATTCTTCATAGCTGCATCAAGGCTGTACTCAAAGAACATTGGATATCATATTATCTGATAATTGTTATCAGTTAAACTCATGAGCATCATCTACAAAGAGACCTTCTATTCTTGCTTGAAAAATCTCTTTCCTTCAAGGAGAATGTTGTCTTTCACAGTGACCATATCAGATAGAAATTTCCCCTTCCACTGTGTCTTTACTCACTCTTACTTATTTGTAGAAAAGCATCTGATGGAAACTCCATTAATTAATTTTTTTAAAAATCTATATGTGCACCAATCTTTCTCTTTGAATAAAAGGTATAGATATTTCTTTACCTAAGATCAGTAAAAAACAGATCCCATAATCTACTGCCTCCTAAGACACTTGGCACTGTCATCTCTTCTTTCCCTTTTATTTTCTCTATATTGGCTACTTTTATCCAGTAGGTTCAAACCTCTTCTATTTTAAATTTAACTCAACTTCAGGTAACTCTCCATCTATAATTCTAGATACCTTTCCAACTATCACCCTGCTTCTCCTCTCCCTTTTGATTTATATAACCAGACTTCTTAAATAAGCTGTCTTTAACTTTAATATCCTCTTTATTTTTCTAGTGTAATTTTATTTCAGCCCTGTTTACCCAAATTAGTCTTCTGAGTATCACCAGAAGTAAGAGTACCTAAATCCCTATAGTAATATTCAGTATTAAACTAGTGTAACATTTGACACAGTAAACCACTGTCTTTAATATTTTCTCTACTGGTCTCTCAATACTTCTCACCTAGATTTATCCTCTTTGKGTATTTCTTGTTACATCCTTCTGACTTGGAAGCCTTATCTATTCTCGCAGCTCATTCTTGGTTATGCATAGTATATCATTTTCTCTAGCTCAGACCTTTTCTCATTGACTCCAGACTAAGAATGCAGTAGACCATTAGACCCTTTCAAATGAGTATATTCAGCTTCTGCTTCTGGCATTCCCTATGTCACAGCATAAAGTACCAACTTGAGTCTCTTCAGCAATCTAGAAAACGGAATTATTCTTCTTTCTTCCAGTCTAGCACCAAATATTGATTCTAACTCCTAAATTTCTGTTTGAATCTGATCAGTTGTCTCCAGCTCTCCTGTTACCTAAACAGGTATTTTTCAGAGAACTGATATCTGAGGCTTTTAAGGGCTTTTGCCTAAGTACAAATCAGCATACTTCTAGCTACCGTATGCCAACTATTGATGTTGATATAAATTATAACACAGTTTCTTATCTTCATGCAGAGTGGCTTGGGCTGCTGGTTCATGGACTTTTTTTTTTTTTTTTTTTGAGTAGCCCTGGTCTTAGCCATCCTCTCAGAAATCTCTGCTTATTGGTCTTTTGACGAAACTCACCACTTTGACATCTTCCCCTACACCCATTATTTTTCCACAGAGTACTGAGAATAGTCTCAAATTTTTATTTCTTCTATTCTCAGTGCCTTTTAGTGATTGACTTTTGTCCTTTAGGATAAAGTCTAAAGTCATTAACATGACTTATGAGATTATAAATCATTCCTTAACTTGCCTCTCCTGTCTTATCTCCCATCTCTTTGGCTCTGTTGAACTTTAAGTAGCTTGCATATGCTGTTTTTTCGGATCCTTTAGGTTTACAAGTTGCTATTTCATTTACTTTTTTTGGGGGGGGGCAGTGCTAATAGTGCTTTTTTATCTCCTTATGCTTAACTTCTGCTCATCTTCCTCTTTCAAGTATCAGGTTAGAAGCCTTGTCTCAGAAAGTTCTTCTTTTTCACCTGGATTAGATTTTTATAATTATTTGTTAAATGTCTGTGTATTTTCTGTCAGATTATATATTAGGGTGGATACCATGTCAGCTTTGTATCTGTTAAATTTATTGAACATTGATATTTAAGTTGGTAATCAAAAGCCATACTAACAATCCAGTTATCAAAAAGAAACTGATCTTGCGCACACCTGTAATCCCAGAGGCTCTGGAAGCTGAGGTAGAAGGATCTTGATCAAGTTCAAAGCCAGCCTCAGCAATTTAGTGAGGCCCTGAGCAACTCACCAAGACCCTGTGTCTAAATAAGATATAAAAACGGTCGGGGATGTGGCTTTGGTACCAGGTTCAATGCCTGTACCAAAAAAAAAAAAAAAAAGTGGCAAACCATACACTTACTGATTTAAGGTCAGTGAACCCAATAAAGGTAAAACAGCAAATCATTATTAGGTTGCAATTTAGTCACCTTGCTGAAAAAACAAATCAAGACAAATAGAATATTTTTGATCAGAAGAACAAATCACATGCAGGAGAACAATTATCTATGAATGATAATAGGACATTCAGAAAGAAAAGAATTAAAAGTCAAGGAAACATCTTCAAAATACTTAAAAGGAAAATGGGGCAGAGTTTCTTAAAATATGCTATATTCATACAATAGRGTACTATTTGGCATTATAAAATGATGTGGAACTGAGACATTTAGCAACATTATTTGGCTGAGTAAAAGATACTGGATACAAAGGAGTACTTTCTATAAGATTCTGTTTATGATGAAAACTATCAGATCTGTCATCGTTTGTAGGTGGTTCACTGGCTGGGAAGGGATATTAGGGTCTTTGCATGAAGATAATATACTATACATATAGAGTATCATGGRTTACAGAGATATACATTTCTCAAAGTTAATTGCACAGATTACAAGACCCAGGAAGAGTGTCAGACCCAAGTCTGAGKTAGAGATGAGTTGGTGGGTGCAGAATGATCTGCAGGCTCAACCCTTTTCCACACTAACAGGACCAGCCAGAGGATCCACTTCCRTGTGCATTCTGATGGGGAAGTTATAGCACATAGACCTCATTAAAAATTGACATGTCTTCTCTAGTTGATCACTCTATTGATTAAATTAATACATATTTTATTATATTTTATCATGTGGGTGTATATTAAATATAAAATTATTTTTATGTTTTATAAATAAATATCTAAATCAATAAAAATGTAACTGATCTTCACATTTATGTATTATCTTTTAGAAAAGTCTTGTTGCTGTTTTGTAGTATGAAGTATAAACACATAGGCTTTCCCTTGGCTTTATTTTTTTGTGATACTGGGGATTGAACCCAGGGGCGCTACCACTGAGCTATACCCTCAGTCCTTTTTAAGAATTTTTATTTTTAGACAAGATCTTGGTAAGATCCCGAGTACCTCCAACTTGTGATCCTCCTGCTTCAGCCACCTGAGTTGGTGGGATAATGTGTGCACCACCACATACAGCTTCTTTGACTTTAAAAAGTGCAACTTTCATGGTTGGTTTGTTTGTTTTTTGATACTGGGATTGAACTCAGGGACATTTGACCACAGAGCCACACTCCCCGCCCTATTTTATATTTATTTAGAGACAGGGTCTCACTGAGTTGCTTAGCACCTCAGTAAATTGCTGAGGTTGGCTTTGAACTTGCCATTGTCCTGCTTCAGCTTCCCAAGCCACTGGGATTAAAGGTGTGCACCACTATGCCTGGCTAGCTTTTATGTTTTTGAGGAATAAAATTAATACATAAAAATAGCCCAGTTTTTTGAAATAGACATGATATAGTTTCCTTTTCTCTTGGACCTTATAAAGTTTTTTATGTGGCTAAATTGTAGTACACATGAGTAGGAAATGAATTTTTTTGATTGTTTTTGTTTTGGTTATGAGAATCAGCTTTTCATGAGCATTACCTCTTTCAGTTAGGAATATCTCTAATAGTATTCCTAACTGAAAGAGGTAATGCATTTGTTCATTTTAGCATACTTCTGGATTCTTTTAAACTATTCCTTTTGGAGATTACACATCTTCGGTTACTAATAGTTAAAAATAGAGTGAAATGTTTGCAGAAGTAAAAGCATATCATTCATTTAAATTTTTTTGAGAGACCTAATGGAATTATCTTTTTTTTTAATCTTTTTTCCTAGTTTTTAAGACAAACATTCTCTCTGACATCTGTTTAATTCTATTTCACCCTTTTAGCATTTACTATTTATGTATTCCACATTCATACTAATGAAGGGTTTATTATGAAACTCATGGTTTTAGAATATTTAGGGAACTCCTGCATAATCTGTTAAGAGTTTTATGTTGGTAAATAAAAGGTCTTAAGTATTTTATCAGTGTTATAAGCCAAATATTCTTGATTTTGATTTTTTTTTCCTGACTTGCTAAAAACTAGTTATTAAGATAGTTAAACAATTTGGAACTTAAGGTTTCCCTGAGCATTTGTTAAATTCCCCCAAGAATCATCCTCATAAAAATAAGTTAGGCAAATAAATAGTAAACATTGAAACAAAATGGAAATATTATTGGGACTTTTCATATTTTTAAACTATATGCAGTGTTTCATTGTGTTGTTTCAAATGCATTCAGTGTCTTAACATCTTTCTTGCATTTTGATGACCATGTTTTAATCAAATTTTAAATTCACTATGAAATTTTGTTCCTGATAGTTTCATTTCATTGTCAAAGCTGTCATTGTGAGTTGGTACATTTGAAAGATCTTATTGCAGAGTATCTTGCTTTTATTATCAAAAAATCTTTGCTGCAGCAAGATCACTGAATTTCCTGTCGCTAAACCACAGGACTTACTTGTGTGCTATTCTTTCCTGGATATTGTAAATACGTGAGCTTGAAGTGAGATTGCATATTTTTTTTAACTTGATTTTTCTTTCTAYTTTGTTTATGATTACTTCAGCTAGCTACTGAAAATTCCTGGATTGCTGTGTACGGGCATCCTTATTTTTCTCTGTTGCAGACAGTTTTAATTTAGTTCTTGTTTGTGTTTTTCCCCAACTCTTATACCTTAGGTATGATTGTGTAATTTCCACCTACATAAAGATTTTTCTAAAAGTTTAAAAGGAAAATGTCAAAAGTTTCTAGAAGACTTTCTAACACTTGGCAAAATTATTGTTGACAATTTGGTAGTATAATTCCATGTTGCTTGGAAATAGCTCTCAAAAGACTTTGTTTGAATTCAGTAAATTTTTGTCATTACTTACTTTTAACATTAATCTAGATAACTCAAAGCTAAATCTTACAAGATCTCATTTTCTCTTTGATATTGTTGAACTAGTAACCTGAGAGTAATTTCTTATTTATTTTATTTTTTACATATTGTATGGAAATATACATTCTAGAATTTATTTGATTGATATTTTCTTTATATGAATACTACATAAGTAAATTTTCAGTATTTGCCTTTACAGCAGGGTATTGGAATAATTTATATTATAATGACTGGTAAAATTGACACTTGGCTTCTACTTTTATGTGATGGTAGGTGCCTTAACCCAAATGGAGTTTAAATGCTAACGTGTATAAAGTCCCTTTAAGATGAATTTTCACCATTGGTTTATAATGGATGAATTTCTGTTGAATTAGTTTTTAGGTTTTTAACTTGGCAAATATAATCATATAGAACTCAATCTTGTTATTAAGGGAAGATTTGTTTTTTGAGAGAATGAGAATATGTGAATGAATTAAAGATTTATGTACTTAAGCAGCTGTAGAGGTTTAYTCTTTCTGTTACAGGACATGTGTATTCTAGTGAAAATATTCTATTTAAAGAAAATAGTGCTTGGTGGAAATTAATACATTTACTGTGAGAACAGCACAGTATGATGTTTGAAATTTGCATCTTTTTCCTGTTTTGCTAATTTCCAAATGTTATTAAAGATCACTGATGTATTTTATTCACTTTTACAGGCCCTAGATGGTCAGAATATTTATAATGCTTGCTGTACCCTAAGGATTGATTTTTCCAAACTTGTGAATTTGAATGTAAAATACAACAATGATAAAAGTAGGGATTATACTCGACCTGATCTTCCATCTGGAGATGGGCAGCCTGCCTTGGACCCAGCTATTGCTGCAGCATTTGCCAAGGAAACATCTCTTTTAGGTATGATTTTTATTGTCTCTTCCACTTTCTCCCATTTGTTAAATGGGACAGTGCCTCTTAAATTCCAGTAAGTATAATGAATCCCTCATTTTGGACTTTTAACAAATTATGTCAGGTTTCATGAYCTATTGTTTTTCTTACGTGAAAAGGCATATGAATGCTGTTAGAAAAAGTATTCTTCATTTGTTTAATATAGTGTTAGTTTGTTCTCCCAAAACAAAAGTAGAAAAGTTTTATTTAAAAATATCATAGAGTTTTAATAATATGTTTATGCTTCAAATTTGATGTCATACTTTCTGTATCTAAGTCTAGGCCTAAGACCCTTGTTCCTATTCTTATTGTTTTACTTTAGTGCTGCATAGAAACAGTGATGTGTTAATAAACAAAGCATGTAACTAGAGTAGGTGTATGGGTTTTTTGAAGCATATTTTAAAAATGATGATTTTTGATAAAATATATATTTGCATTTTCTCTTATTTACATTTTATCTTGTCTACCATGGATTTAAGCCATCTACTACAGTATGAAAATATGCAACTGATAGTCTATGGGGTCGAAGAAAAAAATAAGGGAAAATGCTATTTTTGTAAGTAAGATGAACATAGTGATTTACAGYTCAGATGGAATTTTAGCTGTTTGGAAAATTGATTGTTTTGGTATTTGTAACATTACTTTAAATCACTTTTTTTTGGATGACATACTGACTCTTGAGTTTAGTTTATGTCCATCATTTTACAAAGTCATTTTAAAGAATATTATAATGAAGTGATTTTTGGAAATATTTATTTGCTATGGAGCTGTAATAATAATGCTGTTCATTTATAAGTATGTATGCATAAATGTTAGGTATGTGAAGTGAGAAACTAGAATGTGCAAATGAGCAATTGATATTTGAAAGTGATTCTGATGACTTCAAACAAAAATGACCCTTGCAGTTTTCTGATGTGTCTGGCATAGGCCACAGTATTTATCATGGCTGTAATAGAAACTTTAGGTTGCTAACACTCTTTCCATACAGAATCTCTCTTACTATATGGGCCTAGTTAAATTGAAGCCTTCAGTTTGGCTTGCAAGTTAATAACATGACTATTTTGGAGTATACAGTTTTTAAAGACAAGGTCAAGATTGAGACGACAGTGAATGATACATGACTCTTGCTTTTAATTCTTACTATCTGTTATTAAATTCTACTGATATAATTTATATTAACTTACAGAAGAAAATAGAATCAATCAACATTTACTTACTGAGTAGTTTCTAGGTCTTAGGCATTCTGCCAGGCACTTGGCAGCTATATTATTGAATCCTTACAATAGTCAAATAAAGGAGATGTTAGCACTAAGATTTTGTGGTTTCTGAAAATTTTAAAAATTCACGTGCAACTCATTAAAGAAACAATTTAAGGATAAAATACCAAGAAACTCCCATCTAGCATCAAGCATGAACCATAGTAATCATTTCCTTGGAGTCTTAAAAATCTATGTGTTTGCTCATTTGGTTATACTGGATGTGTTTGGTTTCTGAGTAAGTTGTATTTAGAAGTTACCTGGTTGTTCTCCTAGGGAATTCATCAACCCCTGCCCTCCACCCCTGTGATCTTGAGAGTTGGGTGAAATTTTTAAAGAAATAATAAATATTTTTTATAGAAGATATCAAAACCCTAGCACAATTTACCTTCTATCTTACTTCATACCTCATGCTCATATTCATTTTTTTAGTGTATTACATTTTTGCATTAAATGCATGTAAACGTCTCAGGTTTTTTGATTTGCACACAGTGCCTTGGATCAAACCCAGGGCCTTAAGCATAWTACGCAGACACTCTACCATTGAGCTAAGTTGCTTAGTTCTTTTTTTGTTGCTGCTGTTATTGTTGTTTTGTTTTTTCCTTTTTTTATTTTGGAATGCAAGGCCTTGAATATTGTACACATGTGCTCTGCCACTGAGCCCMATTGCTTAGTTCTTAATAAATTCGTCTAGTGTCTTCCAGTCCTATGTTGAATTTTTTTATAGCATAATTTGTTTTGGCATTTCTGCATGATAAGAAAAAGGAAAACATTTGGTGGTGAAAAAATGGTGAATTCACCTTTCCTAAATACCTTCATGTTTTGCCTATTTTAATGGTTTTGTATCTTTTTATAACRGGAGTTTTTATTGTAAGCATTCTCAAATTGCTTTGAAAGTAAGTGACTGTACTTTAAAAATCAAATCATAGACTCTTTAGTATTGATGTTTATAAGATATAACCACTCATATTTTGATATTACCTGTGAAAATACTTTTTTATAGAAAATTGAAGTCATACTGTAGTTGTAGTTTTGTGTTATTTTTTAGAAATTGTAATTTTAGTTAGAACTTCTAACAATAAAAATTTTATATCTATACATTATGGTATTGAATATGTCATACTTTTGAAAGTTAATTAGTCTACTTTTGTACTTTACTAAAACAACCTGTATAGGACTTTTTGCCCTCCGAATTATTTCCTTAGATTGGATTTTTAGAATAAGAACTATTAAGTCAAAGAAACTGTTAAAATCTATTGATGGTGTTGGAAAGTTCTTCCCAGAAGGACAGTATTAATCTAAGCTAAAATGAATGGTTATTCTGTTTCCATATTATATTAATTTGATTGGAAAGTGTCTGTTTAATTTGTATTATGAACTAGTTTGTTTCTTTTTTGTGCTGAGGCTCAAACCCAGAACCACCTAACATATGCTAGGCGAGCACTCTACTACTGAGGTACACCCCCAGCCCATGTTTGCAAATTTTAGATACTTATTTGATATTTACAATTCCTGAATGAGTTGTCTGGACTCTTCCTGTTAGAATATGATGTAGTTCTTACAAAGTGCATTAAGGATTTACATTCATTGTTGTTATCTCCTTAAATACTTCATATCAACAGAAAATTGTCCATTTGCAGGACACAAATATAAATTGATAACTCTTTTGTTAAATATTTAGAAGCAGATTCACTGTGTGTATTTGTGTGTGTTTCTAGCCTCTTGACTGTATTTCCTTACTTTCAAATCAGTATTACAAATTTTATTTTAAACAGTTATTTCTTAAAGCTACTATTTATACCTAGTTTGCATTTTTTCTTTAATGCTAGGATCACAGTAACTCAGAAAATGTAATTTATCCAAAGAATGGAGACAGTGCTCTATAATTAGTTAGAAATCTGACATCTAAATGCATAATCACAAATCTGGCAGACTATTAGTCATTCACATATTCTATTTCAAAGAACAAGGTGGTCAAAAGTCCTTGAGATTATAAATTAAGACATCGTTAGTTATAATGATCATTTTGTCATGTTAAAAAGTGTAGTTAATTTATTAGGGGGTGGATCACTTTTAGGAAAATTGCCAGAAGTAATTTTTCATGATCATGTTGTCTACATTTAAAAATTAGGGTATATAAAACATCAAAAGAATACTTCCTTTAGCATTTTCTATGTACTTTAAATAATAGCCATTATTATCATATAGTCTTAAAGATAAAGCAAACTTTTTTGGCGATCTGATGACAGTTGTAAAGAGATAAAGTAAACCTTTTTAAATTAAAGTAAATAGCCCTTAATTAGTGTTAATCAAACTTTTGCTGAATATTAAGATCACTAGGCCCTGYCCCACACACTGAGAATCACTGGGAGGCATTGGTCCAGGACATTAGTATTTTTAAGATCCCAAGACTGTTTTCCTGTGTAGTGAGAGTTGCAAATTACTGCTATAGAAAAAAGTTTTTCATTTTTTTAGTCATAATATGACCATTACACTTAACAAAATTGACAAATGACTTCTTAATATTACCAAATACCTAGCCATATTAAAATTTTCTGTTTTTAAGTCTTCTGCTTCAAACTCAGATCCATTGATTTAATGAAATAACTTAGTTACTGTTCTGGAAGTTCCACAGTTTAAATTGGTCTCTTTCTTTGTAATATCATGTTAATTTGTTTCTCTGTTTGCTGAAGTGGGTAAACTGGGAGTTAGCTCCAAAAACTATGTTACATTCAGATTCTGGTAAAAATTCTAGCAAAAATGGTAAGTGTTTGTGGTTCATCATATTTGTCTCAGTAAGTGGCATATAACAGCTGGTTACCTACGTTTAGCAATTTTAGTGATGCATTAAGATTGGTTGTGGTACTGGATGTGGCAATACACACTTGTAATCTCAGCTACTCAGGAGGCCCAGGCAGAGAATTGCAAGTTCAAAGCCAGCCTCAGAAACCTAGTTAGACCCTGTCTCAAAATTTTAAAAAATAAGTAAAAAGAGCTGGGGATGTAGCTTAGTGGTTAAGTGCCCCTGGATTCAACCCACCCCCACCCCTAAAGAAAAACAAATATTGTAGTTTCCAGTAGTCACATTGATCCTTCCATTATTTTTTCTGCTAATGCTTTTAGTGTTCACTAATGGTTTCTGCCTTAATTTATTATACTAAAAAGCAAGTGTGAAGATTTTTCGCTCTACTATATGTATTCTTTCTAGATTAATTGAAAATATAAAATAAAACCCTCCTTCATAAGCTATAACTATTTACCTTAACAGTTTGTGCAACACAGTTAAATTCTTACATTTATTTGCTAATTTCAAATGGAACAAATTGTGTCCAGCTTTTATTTTTGGTTAAATATTTAAAACAGTTTATGATGGGTAAAGCATTGATTCTTTCCCATGTCTGCTTTAAATTTCATAATCTGTTCATTGTTCCCAGGTTCTGGTAGCCCCAGAGTGGTTGAGATGGTGATCTTAGCCTAGAAGTGAACAATTTTATTTTTTCATTTATTATTTTAAAATTTTATTATTATTGTATGTAATTATCCTRCCTCAGCTGCCCATAAATGGAAGGTAAGAGGATAAAGGACTAAACAGAGTTAATTAAAATTTAGACAGGTTTCTCAAAGAAATTCATTCCCTTTAAATAAAAAAACAGAAAGTATGAAATTTTCTTAGTAAACACCAGTAGGTTATTTCTTAACAGCTAATTATGAAAA